CATTCCTGAATAATTCACTGTTCATCTTTTCTTTCTGCAGAAAGGATTTTATTCTAACAATAACTGAGAATAATTACTTCTAAAGTCTAGACACTGAACAGCAGTCAAACATAATAGACTGCCAACTTAAAAAGTGGCAAAAAACAACAAAAAGCACATAAATCCACCATAACTGTCCTTTTTTTTGAGATTAAAATAGTGTGAATATTATGTATATGACACCAAGAGGGTGCAACCCATGTAAAAAACTATTTACAGATCAGCAATCCACCATAACAGTCACGTAGAAGTAGAAATACCCTAATGGGATGACAAACTGATAAACATATGGCAGCAAAATAGCAGCAACACCTAACACACACATTTGTTACATACAGCAGTACCGTAGACATCCCAGCGAACTAACAGTTAAAAACCAGTCTCAACAAATCAAAAACAACCAGTTGAGATGAGGGTGAATTGAGTTTGATGAATAGGTTTGGTCAAACTGGATTGAACATGTCAATAGCTGAGTGTCATATGTGTACCCCACGTCGAAAACATATTTTTATTAAGGATTTGGAGTGTGAAATGAAGGAAAAACTTGGTGGGTAAAGAGGCCCTTGAGGAGTTTATGAAAGCAATTTGGAATTGTATCCCACTTGTATGAATCATCTTTTTGTCAGAGGTTAGGAGTGCTACCTGTGGGAAAGTGGAATTAATTAAAAATGTATAATTATTTATTTCCGGTTTGTAAAGTAGTATATTCCTAAAATATGTTAATAAGTCTCCTAATTTTCCTAGGGTTTCCTTTTCCGCTCTTAAGGTAATATATTATTCAATAGAAATTATCACATTCTTCCACATGGCTTCAAAGCCATAGGTGAAAATTTTTCGAGGGAAGTTTCTTCCTCTTTAAATCCTAACTGGCTTTCGTTGCTAGGAAACCAAAAAAAATAAAAAATAAAAAATAGAAAACCCTAACACCACTAGCTGGCCTTCACAGCTAGCCAGTCCCCAACTTGCCTTCACAGTCACAACCAGGCTGTGCAAAGCAGCACCGACCAGCCACTACCGCACCCAGCAACGCAAAGCAGCACAACCCAGCACCCCCCTGCCGTCAGCTGCACGTTCTGCCCCCTCTGCTGCACGCCGCTGCACGTCATGCACAGTAAGCTGTGAGGACAGTCAGCCCCATAGACAGCCAGCTGAGCCTCCTGCAACGCATGGTTTTTGGTTTGTTTCTCTATTCTGTTTTTTGCTTCTGGTTTCCTCTTTTACACTGCACCTACACGACTTGCTACCATGCCCGAGTTATCTGTAAGGATCTAAGTGCAAATAGAGAAAAATAAATTAGGAAATACAAGATCTACAGGAATACATAAAGAGAACTATGGAAATGTTTGCAGAAAATTCAAACCCAAGAGGTCTTTAATCCTTTCAAACTCTTAGTTAACTAGTCATTTCCTCTTCCATCTCCATTCAATGAAGTTAGAGATTTTCTCTACAACCCATTGGGATTCCATAAAAGATTGATTGTTTATTTACTTGTTCATGCGTCTTTTCTTCCTATATAAATCACATATTTTCATCTATGTAATCAACCAATGAATGAAATATTTTGAATACATTATCAATCTCTCCCTTATTTCTATTTATGTCTCTCAATATCTATCTTTTCTCTCTAATTTTCTATCTATTCTTCTTAATATTCTTACTCTATCTTTCTCAAATCCTTCTATTTCTCCTCTCACTCTCTCTCTCTCTTTCCCTCAAACCCGAATACATACTTTCTTAAGTCATAACCATGTACCCAAGTCATGACAACTTGGTATCAGAGTCGCGTACCAAATCCCAATGGGAGGTGGTGATGGCCAACGACCGCACTGCGAAGCTCTTCGATCAAATAGAGCAAACATTCGATATGATGATCAAGTTGCTGAGCAGCAGTGTTACTTCTTCGGAAGACGTAAAACCAACGGTCGCTGCTGCAGTCGTGTGCATAGGACATAGTGAGGTTCTGCTTTTTCCACTGCGTCACGATGAAGAAAAAGAAGAAGAAGACCCATATGAAGAAATTGTGGAAGAAGAAGAACCATAAAAAGAAGAAGAAGAAG